GCTTGTCAGCCCCGCTCCCGCCCCAAAGGGGATTCTTAGTTTGGCTTGCATATATCAAACATAACAGCAACAGTTTAGATATGTTGTGATTTCAACATTGAGAATAAAACACAAGATACCTTTGTAATTGAGCGATCTCACACATGCTTTTTTTTTCCTTCAATTTTAGCTTTAGTGGCCAAGAAAATCAAGAATAGTGAGCTCTGTGTAGCTCCACAAGCCTTGGTTCTCCTCTTCAGCGGACTTGTCAGTCCATCTTCCATAGTGATTGTTCCTCATCAAAGATTACATGATGTCCTGGTTACCAGTGTTCTGCCAAGATCCAGACAAGTTTTTATTGATGGCCAGGAAAATAGAAATTAATGAATTTGGCTATTCTGAACAGCTGATTTTGTTAATCCAAATGTAGGACCTACTTCTGTATGATACAGCTTAAGTTTCAGCAGTGCTGAACATGAGCTCAGTGCAAAAGTTCCAATTAAGGCCTTCTGGTCCTTCTTTTTTTTGACAGATTCATCAAGGCCTCAGTATTTTCATGTGGCTCTGTTGGGTGTTCTGCACACTTCTTCTGGAAAAGAGGGTTTGACGTTCAATATCCACATTTCTTGAATTGTAAAAGCAGTGGTGAAACTCTGCCAGCCCTCTCAAACTACTGAGCCCCAGCTGGAAGCTGAATTTATTTCTGAAACATGTAATAGAGCAGCTTTTTTAGCCTATGGCTCTTTGTATTTCCTGTTTATTTAAATTGGGCCCTCTTGTGACAATCATCTCTACAAGATGGCTCAGTGAGAATTCCTAGCCAATCAATAAGTTGCTTCTGCAATTATTTCCTGAAAAAATATTTTTAGGAACAAGTACAGAATTCCCTTCTAAGTTGTTTTTAACTTAAATCAGGACTTCACAGTGCAACTGACCCAAACAACCTCATAGTAAAGAAGATGGCACCACCTGTACGCTCACAGCAGTGTTAAATCTTACCTGGGACAGAACAAAGTCTCTCAAGGAATCCAATGCTTTGTTCATCTTTTATGTTGGCAAGAACAAAGGTACAAAGGCATCCAAAGCAACTATGTCTTGGTGGGGAAGTCAGCTGATGTTCAGAAGGCTGAAACAGGAACCTGCCTGTTTAAACTCTTTCTTCCAGACTAAGAGCACGTTCTAGGAGATGTGTTTCAACTTCTTGGGGAGACAGAGAGAGGTGTAGAACTTGGCTGGGCAGTGATCTGGCCATCCTTCCAGTCTTTCATGAAATGCTACAAAATAGTTATCTTCTCTTTTAATGCTGAATTGGATCACTGAGGGCTTGTTTATGTGTGCATTAGTCTGCACTCAAAGGATTTAAATTATATTGCACTAGTGTGTTGCACTATTTAGGGATGTTAGGGTAATAGAATAGTACACTAACCCATGAATTCTTAGCAGTTAGTCGACTACAGGCAGTCCCCGAGTTACGCGGATCCGACTTATGTCGGATCCACAGTTACGAACGGGGCCCTCTCCCTGGTCTCCAGCAGACCAGGGAGAGGAAGTGAAGCGGCGGAGCACGCGGGCAGCGGACAGCCCAGACGCGTCTGGGCTGTCCGCTGCCCGCGTGCTCCGCCGCTTCACTTCCTCTCCCTGGTCTGCTGGAGACCAGGGAGAGGGCCCCGTTCGTAACTGTGGATCCGACATAAGTCGGATCCGCGTAACTCGGGGACTGCCTGTAGTCGACTAACTGCTAAGAATTCATGGGTTAGTGTACTATTCTATTACCCTAACATCCCTAAATAGTGCAACACACTAGTGCAATATAATTTAAATCCTTTGAGTGCAGACTAATGCACACATAAACAAGCCCTCAGTGATCCAATTCAGCATTAAAAGAGAAGATAACTATTTTGTAGCATTTCATGAAAGACTGGAAGGATGGCCAGATCACTGCCCAGCCAAGTTCTACACCTCTCTCTGTCTCCCCAAGAACAGAGAAGCAGGAGCCCCCCGGCTGCCGGCCCTGCCACTGGGGGCTTCAGAATACAGGCAGTCCCCGGGTTACGTACAAGATAGGGACTGTAGGTTTGTTCTTAAGTTGAATCTGTATGTAAGTCGGAACTGGCGTCCAGATTCAGCCGCTGTTGAAACTGATCAGTTTCAACAGCGGCTGAATCTGGACGCCAGTTCCGACTTACATACAGATTCAACTTAAGAACAAACCTACAGTCCCTATCTTGTACGTAACCCGGGGACTGCCTGTATTCTGAAGCCCCCAGTGGCAGGGCCGGCAGCCAGTGTACTCTTGCTTCACTGCTGATTATAGAGCCTTTGTCAGCTGCCAGCCTGGGCCCACCATGGACAGAGATTGCTCTGACAGCATTCCCTGTCCGCGGAAAACTTGGACACCCCCCGTCAGTCGAAGGCGGCCACTGTGAAGTAGCCTTTGTCCGTGACGGACTAATACAGAGCCAGCAAGGAAGTGAGGGGGGGAATGCATATAGTCAACTAGATAAACTGATAAGCCTAGGCTTATCGGTTAATCATATAGTCGCCTACTTGTTTACATCCCTGGAACTAGTGGCCCATGTAGACCCTGCTGGTGGACACGAAAAGTTCCCTAATTTTTATTAATGTGGTACCATTTGAAATTGAACATTGATGTGTCCAAGGGAACTTTTAGTGCGTCGCAGCAGGGACTACATGAGTCATTTGTGTCTCGCACCGGTGCGCACTAGAATTTACACCCCTGTAAGGCAGACTAATGCACCATGTAGACAAGCCCAGAATCTTGCAGTCTGTTGTGCTCCATATATCCTTTCCATTTCTCTTACCTTCTCTTTTTTTTCAGTCATACTCAAATCATCTTAGCTTTTAGAATAAAGCAGATCAAACATTTCTGTGAAATAACTGGAAATATTCTTGATTTAAAACTGTGTGTATTCTGCTTTTACTGGGTGTGGGCACTTATTTGTAGGAATGCGGGATGTATGGTGTTTATTGCTGCATGCATTTGTGCCTGCACTGGGCACAAACAAGGTGTGGTATTCTGTGCAAAGTTATTTTCCATGTTTTTCTCTAATGCTGATTTGGTTTTAAATCCACTTTCTTTTTTTTCTACGGAAAGTGAAACAGTGCCCTAGCACTTTTGTCTGTAAAAACATGTACAGATTTATATAAAAACAGAAGCCTAATGTCCAAGAGTAGAGATCAGATTGTAGGCTGGTGACTCTGGCATATTTATATAGCAGGGCTATAAGCTGTACATTTCTTCATTGATGGTCATTAAGACACTTTCATATTTGTTCAGACACGGTTTACTTTTGGGGTAGAAAAAATCATATTTTTTAATATCTGAAAAAAAATGCACTTCAGCTTCTGTGTATCATCAAAGTGAATGTGACAAAAATCTGGCCGATTTATTACAATGTTGCTAATGAGTCAGTGCTAGGAACTTTCACAACATTGCAATTCCTGACACAGGGGACATTTTAGCTATTAGCTGCCAGCTGTAAATCTCTTCAGGACAGTAATGCTTAGGTTTAGGAATGCTAAAATATCTAATAGTGAAATGAAAAGTAATCTGTAAAATAGGGAGGTGCAGTGTTCCAGGTATTTCCCAGTAGTGTCCAACATGGCATTGGTTACTATAATGCTGTTGTTTGTTTTCACAAACCAGCATTTCATAGTTTGAGAGAACAACTGCTGAGAAGAGACCATAACCTCTTGATTTCAAAGGAACCATCATTTCACTGGTGCCTCTGTGGTTAATGTAAGAAAGGTGTTTTGCCATAAACTTTTCTGAGGTATTCAGCAAGGTTGGAAAGGGGTCGGCCCAAGCAGGAAGCCCTTGTCTGTGCTATAAAGAAAATAGCAAGTAACAAAATGAAAGCATCAAAGAACCAACAGGATGCAGTCCCAAGAGTCCATTCTGGCATGTTGGTCCTTCTTGAAAGTTAGCATTGAGTGAAGAGTGACCTTAAAATTCATTTCATTCAAACAGACTGAGCTCAAGTTTAAAGTTCAAGGCATTTTGTTTTTTCACCTGTTTCCTACAGTTTTAAGAAACTTCTGAAGAATTAATGTGTAACTATATCTGGTCACTGAGCCAACATTAAGAATTTTTCTCTAGGGAAAATAATGTTACTGTATAAAGGGAGAGAAATGGATACGTTTCTTAGTTGCAAGAAAATAGTTCAACAAAGTAAAATTCCAACTGCTGGTACCATGGTACCTAACATCCCTAGTTACTGCAATCTCTTTTTAACCCCCCTAGACAGATCCAATAATTGTCTGAAAAATCATGGAAAGGCTGTTTTATTATGGGATTTACAGCTGGGCAAAAGGATAGTAGTGGTTTTGTTTTAGAGACAGCCTTGGAACAAAGAGTCTAATTATGACAGTTTAGACTAATCTGCAATTACAGGTTGACTAAGCTAACATTTAGCAGTAGATCTGGCCATCACTTTCACATAGTGTTTCAATAGTTAGGCGGTAAGGTGGTTGGGGGGTGGGAGGGAAGCACTAAGCAGAGATTCAGTCATTAAGCAGGCTGCTGAGTGAATACGATATTTAAGCGGTGATACTGCTCATGTTCAGCACCAATGCTGTTTGTTTTCGAGCATTGTTTATAGCTGGTTTTTACTCTAACCCCATTAGTTTCTAATTTCATGATCCGAAAACCCCGTTACTTTACCTTCTAGTCTTTAAGCCTAATATTGACAAAATGACTAGTGATAGGTTGCGTTAACAGTTTGACAGACTGTCACTCATAGTTAAAAGAAATAGTTTGAAGAGATGACATACAGATTTCACTCACATATTCCCATGTCATTAAATTTTAATGACTGTAGTATGAATATTTCATGAAAGTACTTTTGAATGGGTTTGTTTTGGCCGGGAAGCTAGTTGTACGTTATAGTGTCTGATTTTCTGTAGGCTACGGTGGCAGGGGGATGAAGTGTCAAACTGGGTTGCCTGAAGAGGTACCTTTTTTGTTTTCACTGTTGAATATTCAGTCTAGGAGTATATCTTCCAACTATTGTAGTGTGTGACTTAGCAATTTTGTTGAAGGTCTTAAAATTAGATTCTGCTCTCTTGCCACAAGGTGGCTAAAATTTATTGAAATAAAATACAGTGATCAGACATTATGATGATAATTTGTAACTCTTTCTGTGATGCAGTGAGCAACAACCAGGATGGAACTATTACTTATTATGCAGAAAACTGTATAACTTGTATTTGCAGGAAACGACATTCAGCATTTATCTTCTTCAAGTACATGTGTTCACTGCTCTTGTTGGACTATAGTTAATTTTTTTTAACAAAAGTAGAAGGGTGGATAAATGATTTCTTTTAAAGTAAGTGAATCATTTACTGCAAAGTAGTGTAACCATGTTATATTGTGTTTTTGAAGAAGTGACACATTTTGAGGGAAAGCAGGTCAGGCCTTGTTCCACTAGAGAGAAGTTACATTTAGATGAGGGACAGTGATTGAAACTTCCATTTCCTACTTATCTTTGCATGATAAATTCATTTTTTAAACACCATGTCAGAAACTTGACGCTGGGACTGCACTATTTTTAAATAGATTCAAATAAAATGATATTAAACATTCAAGCACACTTTGATGGAAAAAAATCTAGTGCATACACTTCTCATGTAATGGTCTTCCTATAAGAAACTTTTTCAAAGAGTAGCCTCAGATGTACAGTAGAGAATCTTTTGTTTAATGGAAATGAAGCATATCTTTTTCTTACAGATGCACGGTTTACTATTGAGCTTTTTGTGTGCATGTTAGTTTCTCCTTTTATATTTTAACTTATTAACTCTGACAAGTAACCTCTTGGTTGTGAACAATTTAATTCACAATTCATTTTTCTGATTCAAAGTGAACACAAGTGCCCTAATCCCCTAATGGGAATTAATTGCATGTTTCAGTGCTTAACTCTGATCCTCTCTCAATCCCCACTGGGACAGGTTTTTTCCTGAAGGATCTGTGTTTGTTATTCAAAACACAAGCTGAAAGGTAATGATTTTTCTTATAAAAGGGACTGAATATTAATGCTCTTTTTATTGTAAGGGAATGATCTGTATCCCAAAACTCATTTGATGTCATGAATGGTAAATTATACTGAACTAAATTATACTGTATTCTGACAAAATACAGAGTAAATCAGGGTGACTTTTTTCTCCCAAGTGGGGGGGGAAAGTTTTTTTTTTAATTTTGTTTTGGGCAAACAATATAATATTGTGGTAATAGACATTTTTTTCCTTACTGAAGTAATAGCATAATGCAGATTGTCTAAAGAGCTGCTGGTTGTTTTAAATTATCCTGTAGACCAATAATGTGCCCTTCTAAATAATCCAGCTCCAATGCATCTGCCATAAATATCTGATGGTCACTAAAATAAGAATAATTCACAGAAAATACATTTAATTCAATTTTGCTTTAAAGGTTTTCTTACTGTTTGAGTTTCGTCTAATAAAGCACTTTCAAAAATAAGTATTAGGTTTGTGTAGCTGACAGACTGCTGTGTTGGGTGAAAATGAGACCTTCTCCAAGCAGCTCAGTGACTGATGGTGAAATTTAGAAGAGTATCAAACAGTTTGAAACTGCTTTTGTTACAGAGAAAATAAATGGGGAGAAAAGGGGAGATTGCCAAGAAATGATGAAGCTATTTTTTATAAAGCCACCTCTTTCTTCCATACTAACCCCTATGGACTGCTATATTCCAAAATAAAACCAAGACACAGAAAATGTACTTACAGCCTGTGTTCAAGAGCAAGACAGGAGTGGTGTAGGAAGGGTAATATAAGTTAAAAGTAAAGTCTAATGGCAAGGGCTTAAACACCACATACTGTACTTGCCCTCTGCACCAGCTGATGTCAGGCTGTTGTTTTGTTGCTTCATTTTCATGAGCACAAATTCACCATTCACCCCCCTTACCACTCCGCATTCCCCCAGCTACAGCTTGTGAGAATACTGTCCTCTGGTACAGATTGTACTTTCCTAAATTGGTAGGACCACAGATGTTCCTGGACCAGAGAACCCAGGAGCCCTGTGGCAGGGGGAAGGGCAGTGGCATGGTCAGGAGCCTTGCTGCACAGCCAGGAGTCCCAAAACAGGTGGGACCAGTGTCTAGCAAGCCTAGCCATGGCAGGCAACACAACTGGCTGGAGGCAGGGAACCTGCCATGCCCAGAAGCAGAGCCAGTGACAGGAAGGGACACTGTGTTTGGGGAGAGGGGGGCAATGGCAGGGGACTTCCTCTGATCCTGCAAATTGCCTCAGGTTCTGAGAGTGCTGGACCAGAGAGGTTCAACTTGTACTATCCAGGCTGTAAGTAGTCATGTAACAGTTATTACAAGCACCCCAGCACACATTTTTTTTGCTAAATGGTTAAGTCTAACAAGTCCTTGCACTTGTGACCATTGCTTTCAATTAGCAGTGACTCAGTTGTGATCTAATTTTCCTTGCATACCCCTTCCTTCCAAAAATAAGCTAGTACTAGTATTATTTTTACTGGTTTGAATTCACAGATGCTGACTCTGAAAGCTGAGGTTACAGTAAATTCTTCAGCACATTACATGAAATAACCTTACATCATGCTGTGCTTTTGCCACTATACTTCTGATGTGCCTCACTTTGGGACTGAGCCTAGTGGCACACAGTTGTAAAATTCGCTCAAATCAGTGGTGCTCCTCATCCTCTGTTTCCTCAGGCCAGAGCTCAGGTCACTGCTACTATAAACATCTTCAAGGCTCTGCTCTTGCTTTAATGTTGGAACCAAGCGTGCAACATCATATGGAAAAAATAAGTCTTATTGTGTCCTTAGCTAAACGCGCTCAGGCAACGTAGCATGATGCTGTGTTCAAACACTTGAATTTTGCTTTTCAATGACTAATGCCACTGTACCTGTGTGACAGCTAGCCCAAAATTCATGCTGAAGTGTATTGCTCCTGTTGCAGGGCAGCAATGCACTTTCTGCAGTGTGAAATTAAGGACTTTTACATGTGGTGTAACGGTAGCCATACATTTTTTCCTCTGAGGTGGAAAGCACCCTAGTTGCTATGACACTGTCATTGTTATCACTAATCCCAATAAAGGAAAGGAAATCTTAAAATCCCCTGCACCAAACCTTCCCAATTGTAATAATTAGAAGTGGAACAGTTATAGACTGCTACTGTGCAGTACTTGAACATGACTAAAAGATTTCCACATCGGTTTTGGTAAAGGACATGTACACTGTAGTGCAGTTGTTTTGGAAACTAAAATAGCTTCCTGGGTTGCTTTTTGTTTGTCACAAAGTAGCCCTGTAGCAAGGCTCATGCAGTCAAGTGAAAGAAAGATCCAAGAAATGGTCTAGTTTCACTGTGGTTCAAAAATCCACTTGGTCACTGTGGCTGCTGTACTGAGAGTAGAAATTAATCTGCTTACTTGGAAAATTCTGTTAATCTTTCCCAACAATTTTTATGCTGGACTTGAGCAAGAGAGATAGATGCAGATGCTGCAATTTATGTTTAAGGAGAGTAATGTAAGAAATTCCCTTGCTTAGTTATATGTCTAAATAGTTTTGTGTGCATGTACACAGTGTAGATTGAAAATTCAGTGTGATATTTTATGAAATAGATTATTAGTAATACCCTATGTTGGTCTTTTTGTTCTGTAGGTAGAATGGCTCGTGTCTTTATTTATGGAACCCTTAAAAAAGGCCAGCCCAACCACTGGCACATGTTAAACAGTACCGTTGGGAGAGCAAAATTCCAAGGCAGGGGACGCACCATGGAGAAATACCCTTTGGTGATTGCAGGAAAATATAACATCCCTTTTTTGCTGAACATCCCAGGAATGGGATACCATGTTACTGGAGAGATATATTCTGTTGATGACCAGATGCTGCAATTCCTTGATGAATTTGAAGACTGCCCAGACATGTATCAACGTACTCCTGTGAGAATTGAAGTAGTAGAGTGGGAAGGTAAAAGCAGTGCACCTGAAGAGAGGCCAGCTGTTAACAGCATTATGGAATGCTTTGTGTACAGCACAGCTACCTACCAGCCAGAGTGGATAAATCTTCCCTACTATGACAATTATGATTCCTTGGGGAATCATGGTCTTCATTATGTGCTACGTAAAAATAGAGATTAAAAATGGAAGGTAACAAAATGTATTAAGAAAATTCACTAAATACCTATTGATCACAAGCCTCACATAAATCTAGAATTCTTGTATTGAAGCACTAGTGCCTTTTGTAGCCTTTCCAACCATATACTCATTGATTCTAACATCATTACCATACAGATACAGACTGGTGCCAAGCCTAGCAAAATTGTTTTTGATTGGTGAGTAAAATACTTTGTGGTGATTTTTCTTTTTTTCCTTGTAAAGTCAAAATAAAAGGGCAGCTGAATGGAAGATTTTTCACTGTAACTGGTACATTTTCATGTCTGTTTTATCAGTTTTATAAAACAGTATTGCTACGCTACTGCAAGAGCAGATAATGAAATATGGCTGATTTCAGAACACTGAAAAAGCAGCTCAGATTACTGCACAGCAATCCTCAGTCAGCAAATGTCTGAAAAGAAAACAATTACATCTGTGTCAAGTGCTGTAAGAAAAAATGATAGAAAAAATAAAGTGAAACAGAAAAGACTGAAAATAGAATGAACTTCTCTCACTGTGTTGTATAACCAACTGATCTGAATTTGGTCTATTAAATTGTAACTGGATTGTAACAATTGTTTGTAAGATCCACTGGGTTTATAAAACATATTAAGATAAAATCTTGTAGAGGAGTTAAATTTTTATTTTTTCCCACTAGACCATACCAGCACATTTGGTGCCATTACAGTCTACTGAGTAAATGTGTGCTTGGGGACTTTTTAAAAGCTAATTTTAACTGTTTAGTACATTATAACATATGAAGTATATCAGTAAGTATTTTGCTGAAACATCGCTGGGAAATCTTCAATGGAAAAATCACAAATACGTGAAAACTACTTTTTTTTTCCTAAGCGAAAAATTTTCTTAATTTTGAGTTTTAAAATACCCTAAGGCCCTAGTTAATCATGCATTAGTGCTTTGTGTTATTTAGTTTAATGTAAAAAAATAATTTAGTCCTTTTCCTTTGCACTGTTTAGGCTAGAGCTCAGCAACCTTTCAAAGGTGGAGTGCCGAGATTTGACTTATTCACCTCTATGTAGGGGTCTAAGTGCCCATGATACTTTTTAAAGTCAATAATAGTTCTACTTACAGCAGCTTCATTAATGAATAAATTAAGATCCATATCTTACCCTTTTAGTGCAGGGGTCGGCAGCCTTTCAGAAGTGGCATACCAAGATTTAACTTATTCACGGATCTCTGTGCTGGGGTAAGGAGAGGATAGGGGAAGCAAGGGCAGGCTGCTTGAGTGACCTTATTTTCTGAACCAGCTGCAGCTAGGGAGAATGGTTTACATTATTAAACAGATTAAGCGTTATAACTCTCGTGTTAGTTTATGAAACTTCATTTTCAAGCAAGTAAAATGTTATGTCTGACACTAAAGGTTTCAATGTTTTCTTTCTTTATGGCAGGGATGGGGAGCCTCTTTTGGGCCGGCTATCCCTGACCCACAGAAAAATCAGTTGGGGACCACACAAGTGAGAAGCAAAACACTTCCTCCAAAACCCCCATCTCTCACTGATGTGGCACCCATATGAGATGCCTCATTCCTCTGGTGCTCCTGCCCTATGGAGTCAGGGAAAGGGACAGGGAGGGCTGAGGTTAGGGGCTTCCCCTAGACTAGATTTACTTTTCTGGGGTTCTAGTGTATTTTGTGGACTCCCTTAGGCTCTGGGGTAGGGACAAAAATGTAGGGTTCAATGTGTGGGACAGGGCTGCCAGTGAGTGGGATAGGGAGGGGGTGTAGGATCTGGGCAGGAAGTGGGGTGTAGGAGGAGGTGAGGGGGCAAGGTAGGGTGAAGAAATAGGCTGGGAGTAGAGTGTCTGGCCAGGGGGTAGGGGCAGAAGCAGGCTGGGGTAAGGATGTAATAGTGTAGTAGATTAACAAATAAGCGGAAGCATATAAGTTAATGCTGTAGACTATGGCTGTGTTTAGACTGGCCAGTTTTTCCAGAAAATCAGCCACTTTTCCGGAAAAACTTGCCAGCTGTCTACACTGGCCACTTGAATTTCCGCAAAAGCACTGACTTCCTACTGTAAGAAATCAGTGCTTCTTGTGGAAATACTGTGCTGCTCCTGTTCGGGCAAAAGTCCCTT